CAATGGTACTAATGGTGGTGGTTGGGATTTGTTAAAGGTGTTGGTGGTGCGCACTTTGTTCTTGAAGTTGTTGGGAGTGGTGGTGGCGGCAGAAATCGAGTGTAACCAGATCAATGTTAATTGTGACTGTATGTGACTTGTTACATACAATCACAAATTAAACTGACATGACACGGACGTCACATTGAAAACAAAGTTGGTCATAGTTAGTCACAAATAAAACATGTCAATAAAGGTAGTATTTATGATCGTGAATTTGAGTTGAAGTTGGTATTGGTGGTGCATTGGAGGTGATAGTAGTTGTAAACTGGTGGTGGATTGTGGTGCTAGTCTGCGCTGTGTGCAGATTTGTTTGTGGTGACCTTCTGTGTATGTGTTTATTGTGATGAATTGTGATCAATTCTATGTTAATAGTGATTTCATCACATACCGTCACAATTAAGATTGACATGGTCACAGACTGTTACATTGAAAACAAAATTGATCATAATTAGTCACACTGAATATAAATTTTATCATAATTAGTCACAGATAACACAAATTAGTGACTTGGTTATATATAATGACTTTTTGAAAAAGTTTCAGAAAAATTTTGAAAATTATTTGGGGAGTGCGTTGGGGGTGGAGTAGGTGATTCTCTGGGTGGGTTATGATTTCGAATTTTCAATTTTCAAAAAATTTTCTGGCCGGGGGTGGGGTGAATACGTAGATTAAATTTAGTTTTATATTATCAACGCATGCATTATTATTCCGCAAGAATTCACTTTTCTGATTTTGTCCTTAACTATACGTTGAGNTTCTGGAATAGTAATTGATGGAAGAATGTGTGGTTAAAAAGTAATGAGAATTTTTGGGTTTATGTGTAGTATTATTTTATTGATAGAATGTGTGGTTGAAATGAAGAAAGAGAAAAAAAATGAGAATGAGAATGAAAAAAAATGGATGTCAAACAGGGGATAAATTTAGTTTTATATTATCAACGCATGCATTATTATTCCACAAGAATTCACTTTTCTGATTTTGTCCTTAACTATACGTTGAGTTCGTTGATTGGTTGAAGCCTCGTACAATTATTTAATATACCTTGTGAATGTAGGAAAAATTAGGGGTGGGCAAAACCCGAACAAACCCTTCAAAATCGTCCAAACCGAACCAACCCCGATCTGTTTGGGTTGGTTTTTTTGTTTTTTTACAGGGGTTGAGTGAGTTAGTTGTCTATGCAAGTTGGGTACGGTCCGGTTATGGGTTAACTCATAAACCGAATAAACCCGTCCAACCCAACCCGACTATATAATGAATTTTACAAATATTATGTTGCTGCTTGGAAACTTTTAGAGTAATATTACAAGACTTGGATATAATGCATTTTACGAAAAATAGTATAAGTAAATACACATTCAACACAAAAAACATTTTAATTGTCAAAAATATTTATTGACTTCATATAATTTAGGGGGTGTTTGACACCCATTTTTGTGAAAGAATGTGTTTTTAAATAGTGATTGATGGAAGAATGTGTGGTTAAAAAGTAAGGAAAATTTTAGGTTTATGTGTAATATTATTTTATTGATAGAGTGTGTGGTTGAAATGAAGAAAGAGAAAAAAAATGAGAATGAGAATGAGGAAAAAATGGGTACCAAACGGGGGCTTAATATCAATCTGTCCATGTAACATTTCCGTGCATGAAGTGCCAATATAATTCAACATTTTTTTTGTTCATTGCAACTATGAGGACCAAATATTATATAAGTTATGAGTCAATTATAAATCCGTCCAACCCGACCCACCTACTTTAGTCTTTGTAGACAAGTTGTCACAACTCGACCAACTCAACTCAATCTGATCGATACTTGATTGGGTTGGATTGGGTTGGGTTTCAACATTTACTCGGGTTGGATTGTGTTAAATTATAATCAAACCGATCATGTTGGGTATGATTTGGGTTCAGGTAAAAACCGACCAAACCCAACCCAACACATACCCACCTCTAGGAAAAACTAATAATTTCCCGGCCCCCCGGGGCACATCCAAGTTGGCAAAGGATGGGCACTGCTGGGCTTGCAACCTCAGGGTGGGGAGTTCGATTCCTGGATTGAGCAGCTGAGTGTTGTAATACTCAATTTGAGTGGAGCAGCTTGGTAATGTAATATCCATGGAGGAAGGCTCCCTTGGGGCCAGGAGAGGGGGTGGGGTGAATACGTAGATTAAATTTAGTTTTATATTATCAACGCATGCATTATTATTCCGCAAGAATTCACTTTTCTGATTTTGTCCTTAACTATACGTTGAGTTCGTTGATTGGTTGAAGCCTCTTACAATTATTTAATATACCTTGTGAATGTAGGAAAAATTAGGGGTGGGCAAAACCCGAACAAACCCTTCAAAATCGGCCAAACCGAACCAACCCCGATCTGTTTGGGTTGGTTTTTTTGTTTTTTTACAGGGGTTGAGTGAGTTAGTTGTCTATGCAAGTTGGGTACGGTCGGGTTATGGGTTAACTCATAAACCGAATAAACCCGTCCAATCCAACCCGACTATATCATGAATTTTACAAATATTATGTTGCTGCTTGGAAACTTTTAGAGTAATATTACAAGACTTGGATATAATGCATTTTACGAAAAATAGTATAAGTAAATACACATTCAACACAAAAAACATTTTAATNACGAAAAATAGTATAAACAAATACACATTCAAAAAAAAAATATTTATTGACTTCATATAATTTAGGGGGTGTTTGACACCCATTTTTGTGAAAGAATGTGTTTTTAAATAGTGATTGATGGAAGAATGTGTGGTTAAAAAGTAAGGAAAATTTTAGGTTTATGTGTAATATTATTTTATTGATAGAGTGTGTGGTTGAAATGAAGAAAGAGAAAAAAAATGAGAATGAGAATGAGGAAAAAATGGGTACCAAACGGGGGCTTAATATCAATCTGTCCATGTAACATTTCCTTGCATGAAGTGCCAATATAATTCAACATTTTTTTTGTTCATTGCAACTATGAAGACCAAATATTATATAAGTTATGAGTCAATTATAAATCCGTCCAACCCGACCCACCTACTTTAATCTTTGTTGACAAGTTGTCACAACTCGACCAACTCAACTCAATCTGATCGATACTTGATTGGGTTGGATTGGATTGGGTTTCAACATTTACTCGGGTTGGATTGTGTTAAATTATGATCAAATCGATCATGTTGGGTATGATTTGGGTTCAGGTAAAAACCGACCAAACCCAACCCAACACATACCCACCTCTAGGAAAAACTAATAATTTCCCTTAGTTTTGTCATTAATGAGGTGTAATTCTAGTAAAATTAGCTGTTAATTTCTATTCCTTTTTGAGAATAACTTTTTGAATATTGCTATTTGTCGAGCTGGCTCATGTCATCATAAATCTAGATGGATAACATTCATTAATGTGCCTTCTTAAATTGAATTCACGTCTTCAAATTTAAGATCACATATGAATTAATGTTATTGAATTACCCTTTTTAGAGGGAAAATGTACGTTTTAATTACACTCCTTAATCTATGCAGTTTTAACTTTCTTTTCTAAAAATTGTCTATATCCAGACACAAAATCTATAAGGATGCATTTAATTGTAAGAATGAAATATGCATAGAAAATAAAAATTCTAGACAATTCAATTGCCTAAAAATCATTTGTATAGAAATTATTAATTAAATGTATTTGATTGATTTAGTTTTCATCCTAAATAAATATTATATTTATCATTTTTTTATTGATGGGTAGATGAGATAGAAAAAAAGAGCGAATTACCTGGAAAATAAAAACGAACACTCCCTAAGGAAAATACTTTGTTCCTTTTTGAGGAAAATATTGCTATATGACCAAAAGTTGGAGAATAATTTTCATGAAAAAAATTGTAAATCAAAAGCCACAAAAGTAAGAAATTTAGTGGAAAATGACATTTTTCATGAAAAATAAAATCAATCAAACAAACTATAATAATAACTATTTTTAAAATCAAAAATTAATTTTATCCTTTCGCGTTTTCGATGGCAACCTTGTGACTTTCACGTTTGCCAACTTTGCCTAACTTGCAATTTGTGACTAGATGTGTAAGCGGGACGTTTAGAATTCGACATTTCACGAGTGTGGTCGTGTTTGATTAGGTGAACCATGGACCTAACTGTTTTTTAATTATATTTATTTCTTCATTTTTTTTTTGGAATTACAAAAATAATTTAATAAAAAGTATGTTGAGTTGGTCCCAGAGGGAAAGATACTTTACTTTTGTATCATTTGTGAGTGAATTATTCTCCAAGAAAAAACTGTCACCTTCCAATGATAATTTGCCAAGTGTTCATATGTATGATTTCTGTGAACTTTTTTTTGTACATATAGCATTGTCCTTTGTGGGCGGGAAGTGATTCCGAATTTCGAACCGTGGCATGGTTTTAGAGAGTACCTTAATAGAATTAACATTCTCTCTCTCCAGCCATTTTATAACAAGAATTGAAACTTAGAATGGCAACAGGTTCGGACGAGCAGGCGGACGGGCGACCAGTACCATCCCTGTGATTTTTGAGAGGAGAGAGGGAACGAGTATAAAAATCTCCATTTACCCTGTTTACTTATTTTTTTGAAAAATAACATAATTTAAATTTAAAATACGTAAACAAAAAGAGTAATGCTATATAGTCCTATTGGAATTACAAGTTACAATCTCAATTTAGGTGGCACTAGATGATGACTAAATGAAAGTAATTCCACATATCATTTAATGTCACGTTAACGCCACCTTGTAACCCCTGTGGGGGGCTAAATAGCATTACTCAAACAGAAAATAACTCGTCACCGCCTCGTTTCCTATTCATGGAAGGGAAGGTCAGGGAACAGAGAATTTTGCCATACATAGCTTGGATATGATACACATACCTCTTATAAAGGTAAAACATATTTATCAGGAGAGTTCCACTACCGTATGTTCGAATACAACAATATACTTTCTCAAAGGTTGCATTACTTGCAAAGCAAAGTTTCTCGTGTTTCATTGCCCGTAATTGGGTTCAACCTGGTAACAAAGCATCGACTTTAGAGAGCAAAACACGGTGAGAAAGATGAATGTGATAGAATAGCTCATTACCCATCTGCGAATTTGCAAAGGTATTCCCGTTGGTCATCTCTCAATGGAACATCTGTGAAATCTAATTGGATAGAACAAACATGGCAATATTGGATAAAAATGCTAAAGAAAGATTTCAGCAGAACACTGAACACGTTCATTTTTTCAACCTCACCAAAATGAAATTTTGATTCTTATAAATTCAGAGAATAGTATTTTGCGGGACAAGATAAATTCACCAACCAACTTCAAGAAAAAGTTGTCAACATTACTCTATTAATAGTTGATGATTATGCAAATGAAAATGGAACGGCAACGATAACTAAAACATAGCCCACCAAGTTAGGCAATTTCCCTGATAAACGTTTCTGAAAACTTCATTTTTCACAAGTACCACTAACTAAGAACTTGGATTTGACGGCTGGTTAACACTTCATGAGTACACATTTCTTCTAAAAACAAGAAAACTTGGAAAAGGTTCCTGTTGTTTCAACATACCTGCACCCGTTATAATTGTACCCTTAAAAGATGTGTTGCCAGTTGCAAGTGCTCCTTCCAGGTTGGCATTGCTCAAATTTGCCTGCCATTAGAACAGTTACTTCATAAGTAGTTAGTGTATTTATGATTCTTATTAGGCACTCACACGTTCCTAATTTGGCTTTTTATCACAAGCATGACGAGTTATATCATGAATTAGACAACTGAGAAATGACGAGTGTGCTAAAGTGAAATACACTTCTTTAATCACAAGATCCTCCTCGCACCACTAACAACCTGAATTGTACCAGTTCCACATTTACATCCCTTGTCCCCCCATATTGAGTGCTGAGTGCACAACCTCATGCTGTATTTCTTCACCCCCCATATTTGTGATGAGAATGTGAATTTATTTGATTCCAGCTTCTCTATTTGGTGGAATAATGAAAAATATTTTAAGAAATCAACCAGTTTTAAATTTGCCTCTTGCAATCAATCAGGTCTTCAAAGAAGTAAAGTCTGCTTTGAACAATCCTTTTAGTGATGATGGGTTGCAAATTGAAAAGGATGCTGCATTCTGCATGTATGATGGACTCCCAACTTGGAATAAGAAAGAAAGATTCCGTACTTGAGAATTCTCTTAATAGTGCTCACAACCAAACTTGGAGGTAATATTAAGAACTGATGTAGCTAAATATAAACAGTTAAATGTTGCGTTCTAAAGTAATCTGATTCAATGCACTAATAATATGTTTTTTTTGTGTGATCACGTCAAAGGTTGGCTTTCTATTTGTCTTGCTAAACTCACAGGATTCAAATGACAGAGATCACTTGCAACTTCTAGAATGTCTTGCTAAACACAATTAAAAGTATTAATATCCTGGGTTCAAGTACTAATAATGTTATGCTAAAAATACTACTATTGACACCTGATATTCAGAAAGATATATTTGCACTAGAAATTGTTAATTCCAATGCTGATGATCTCAGATCCTATTGAGGAGGCTAGTGACGTATCATGTAAAGAGTGAGTGGTTGTCTTTTTATGCTATGTATAATTATAGCACAAACAAGAGGAATCGAATAAATTCAGGAATTAATATATTGGGACTTGTCCAACACCTCATATACATAGCTTTAGTACCATGTTAAACGATCCATTTCAAGACTGATTGGTAAGAGAAGAGGTCACACAAGCTCATAGACTCGTTTGAAAAGTTGTAGTCTGCCAATGTGGAACAAACCTCAATACCTTTGAGTATAGATATCTAATTCACGGCAAATCAATAGGCACACAATCTTTTGACTGAGACTACTTTCCTTTCAATTCCTACATTTAGACGTTTTGTACTATTGATTCTACTATGAAATTCTAATTTTGGATTCAAAATATGATCCAATTAGGGTCACTCTACGCTTTTTTTGTCCAGATGCTTTACACAATTGTTTTCCAGATTGCTTATTTATAAGAGTGTGCAACCGTGTCAGGAGGCAGGCATACAGAAGTAAATGAATATATGTTACCCAGAAAAACTACTATGGAAATTAAAGAGAGTAGTAAGTACCTTTGTTACGTTGGCCAAGGAGAAATCTGCTCCTCTAAGATCAGCATCAGAAAGATCTGCCCCTGAACACGAGAAGGAAAAAATAATAAAAAAATGATGAGAATGGTTGTTAACCATGGTTTCATGAACTTAGAGCATGTTTGGCTAAGCTCAAAGAAAAAGTAAAATTGTTTAACAGTAACCTTTTCTCTCCAAAACATGTTTAGACAACTTACTTTGTTCTTAGTTTTAAATAAAGAAGGTTAATTGTTTGAAAATTAACTTTTATGTCAGTGTCTGACAAGCGTAATTTTACACTTATACGAAACGTCAAAAATGTACATTTGTGAGTATTTTTAGAATGTTGATACTTAACTTTAGTTTTATAATTAGTGTTTTAGGAGAAAATCTGACGTTGAATGGTGGAGGATGATTAGGACTGAGCGAGAACAACTTATGAGACAGAGACAGGTACCAAATTGTCATATTTGAAAGATGAAGAACCTCCATAGTGATTAAGAAATGACTTTAGCTGAACTAAAAAGGAGAATAAGGGAGTATTAAGTTGTAATCTTCTAATCGAAAGACTGCAAATTCAATGACCAGGATGCACACGAAGTACAAAATACGTTCGCAACTAGTTAAAGCATGCGATCGCATGGGCAAAACAGGCAGCCAGATTTGTTTCCTACTTTAATTCAACCTCTGCATGGAATTAATTTGGGGCTCCAATTTTGATCTAACTGGGAGACTATAAATACATCTTTCAGATCTGCCTTTGAAGGGAGAAGAAAGTGGATTTGCAAAAGAGAGATCTTGAAGAGAAAGGAATGGATTGGAACCAAGGAGAAAAAAAGGACCGAGAAGCTGCATATTTTCCATCTCAAAAGATGTCAATTAAGCCCTATTATTGTTCCCAGTTTGATTTTCCTTATTCCTAATCTCAGATCATGTTTTATTTGTGTTGAGTTTAACCAGCACGAACTAAGTAATATTATTTTGAAAAACGATGTAATCTAGTCTCAAACTATGCTTGCTATTCTATTTTAGTTTGAAGTAATTTTGTGCTCTGCTTGTTTGAATTATCCTTAGCTTATTGCTTCTAATTTACTGGCCATTAATTAGATGAATTGAATCTTGTAATTTACTATTAAAAGAGGGAATTATAGGATAGTTGGATAATTCATCATAGGCGAATTTAGAGATTGAAAGACTTATAAGAATCTATGTAGTCATAAGAAGGGACTCAGAGATCATAATGCATTTTTGTTTCATTAATTTGCGTACTCTTTTGTAAATGATGCTCAAGAAAATTCCAATTGACTATCGAAAGAGGCAATTGGATGATTTAGGAGATCTCACTAACGAACTTAGAGAATTAAATCCAATTATTTAGATAAGAGAAGCATAATGAGGGACTACGTGAAATCAGTTTCCTAGAATATTTTTTTCTCATAGAATCTTCAATCAAACAACTCTGTTTATTCCCTTCAAATATTTTATTTATTAAATTTTTATTTCAATTTTCAAATACAAGCAATTTTAGTCGCTGCTTGACAACCATTATTTTCAAACTCTTTTTCTACTCATTTTCAATCCTACATTCACGCAATAAATTATTCTATACGTAAGCCCAAAACTTTCACTATCTTTTAACCACATATTCTCCTAAAAATTACTATTTAAACTCTATTTTCCCCGAATAATGGTTGTCAAACAGGGACTTAATGACTTTTCTAAATAAAATAGAGAATAGTATAATGTCGGTAATTATCAAAAGTCAATTATCAATTCCTATTCATCACTTTACTAAAAACTACGATATTGTGCACTTGCAGTTTTGCATTGATCAATTTTTTTCTCAAAATAAGTAACTTATTAGTTTTTAACTTTTATTAATTTATTATTTAAATATTAATAATTACTTATTTATAAGTAAACTTTCCAAGCTTCCAAACATGCAGTGGTATCAATTTAAATTTCATAAAATCGATGACATACTAGTAGCATCACTCGGACATGGTTTATTCTGCAACAATTACTTATTGATTCCCATTTTCCAAATGTGCAACTTGAATACAAATTCAGAAGAAAAAATTTGCTCATTTAGAATTAGTAATCGGTTCTATTAAAAAATTATTAACTTTTTATCATGATTATTAATATTTGGATTAGCAAATGAACGGGTTAATTATTTGAGTGGTTACTGTACTTTATCAAGTGTTATTACTTAATAACTGAACTTAAAATGTATTTTAATGGTTACTGAACGTTGCCAAGTGTTACTATTTCACAACTGAACTTAAAAATATATCACAATGGTCATTGAACTATGCACTGTGTTACCAATTAATTACTCATGTGAGAAAATCTATTAGGTTCAACAAATGGCTTCGACTTGAGTGATGGATGTGTAATACGGAGCATAATTTAGTGATCATTGAGATACATTTTTAAGTTCAGTTATTAAGTAGTAGCACTTGACGAAGTTCAGTGACTATTGAAATATTTTTAAGTTTAGTTATTAAGTAGTAACACTTGGTATAATTTAGTGACCATTGAGATATATATTTAAATTCAAGTATTAAGACCCTCAAATCGATCTATATGAACAAGAAATAAAAGAAAATGAAGGGAAAAAAAAAGAAGAAACAGAAAATCAGAGATCTATAAATTGAATAAAAATAGATCTTTTGCTAATGGCCATTCTGAAATAAATGGATGACATTAGTCTTTAGCTGAAAGTTTTGCTACCCAAATGGAAGATATACGATGCTAAATTGGCTCTAAATGATTTGTAGAGTCATTAAATCCCCTACTAGTATATCTCCTTCATCGGCAATTGTCTAAAAATACATTTGATTTTTGGATCAACTAGTATTAGTTCACCGTATCTCGAACTTCACATAAAATGAATGAAATAGAGACAGTAGGAACATTAAAAGAAATTGACGGAGAAAAATTATATAAAAGTACAAAAATGTTCGAATTAGTGCTATAGTAACCGAGGTCAAATTGATTTTTCATCTTTTTCCCTTCATTTTCTTTAGTTTTTTTTTTTTTTTTTTTACAAATGTCGATTTGATGGAAAAAGAAATTGTTACTACTTAATAACTGAACTTAAAAGTGTATCTCAATAGTTACTGAACTTTGTCAAATATTACTACTTCATAACTGAACTTAAAAATGTATCTTAATGGTTATTGAATTATGAATTGTGTTACCTATCCATCACTCAAGTCGACACCGTTTGTTGAAACTATCGGATTTTTTCATTTGAGCGATGGATGGGTAATATGGTGCATAGTTCAGTGACTACTGAGATACATTTTTAAGTCCAGTTATGAAGAGTAACATTTAGCGAAGTTTAGTAGCCACTGAGATGTATTTTTAAGTTCAATTATTAAGTAATAACACTTGACAAAGTTCGGTAACAATCCAAATAATTAACTCGCCAATGAATGCATCAAAGTGTTCACGAAATTAAGCATTAATTTGTAAATGAACAATGCAATAAATTGCAGATTGTTCACTAAATTCTCTTTTCCTCGAGTCCAAAATAAGAAAGAAACAATTCTCTCCATCTTTTTTGCCCAGTCCTACTTTCTATGCTCCCTAGCTCATAACACACCACAGAGAAGTACTCTTTTCCACATTTGAATTTAAATTACATCCATATTTTGGATAATGGGAACCAAACTTGTCCTAAAGTTTAAGATAGACATTGGTATGCTAAAATTTCAATGTCTTTCCTATAATATTTTGGCTAAGCATTTCCACTAGACAGTCATCCATAACTCAAAAGAGCATCTAGAAGCATCCAACAAAATTCAACTATCACCATAGAGATAAGTGTGCATATCCTGCAGCTAGATATAACATTCCGTCTCTGTATGTGTGTGCTACCATTCAAAACCCGCCATGCTACTGAGCTCAACTCAAATTGAACCCTGTACACGCGAAATGTTTTCCAGAGGTGCGACCACTATGTGTTTAGCCATAGGATTCATTGGCTTCAAGAACACCGATTAAGTGCTCTAGGAGAAAGACGTTATTCCCTATTTTACAGAAAATTACTAATCATCTCCACCGCATCCTTATCTTCACAAACAATCATATGAATCGCAACTTCAATTTGTTCTACAGAATTGGAATTGGTAATGGATAGAGATACTACTTTATCCTACCAATTGGCAGAAGAAGTGAACAACTAAACACGCTCACATCAACATATCTTAATCCGTGTTCAGTCTTCATGCCAGGTTCAAAAGCAGGTTGTTTTGTGCAATAAAAATGTTCATGTAATTTTACCACCAATTTTTCCTTCATTAAACCATCGTGATTCATTTCCTACTTAGTTTTACTAGATCATTATTTCTATTTTTTTGCCAAAAAACTTCACATAACTAAACTAAGGTGAATAAGCAAAGAGGAGAATGTGCGTGAATACTACATACGGGACTACTGGCAATTATTACCTGTTAAATCAGCATCAAAGAAGCTGGCTCCTAACAACTTAGCCCCTTTGAAATTGGCTTGCCTCAGTATTGACTGAATAAGATTTCCATTTCCCTCACAAACTCAGTGAAATATTAAACAAGAAAATATAATATAAAACTACCCAAATTGTTATAAATATATTTACTCAAATTCGCACAAATGATAATAAGAAATACTTTACCGTTTTGAAATCCTGCTTGATCAAAGTCTTGCCACCAAAATCTTTACCTGTAAGATCTTGTCCCCTGGTCACTTCAGCACCGTATGGCCCTCCACCCTTTTCAATTTTTTTTCCTCACAACGTTAATGAATTCACATTAACAAAAGAAACATTAATTCTTCAAACGAATATTTAAGTTTAAACAATCAAAATTAACATCTAACTTTGATTACCTTAAATGCAAGAGCGGGATTTGAAGCAAAAACAAGTGAAGCTGAAAGAACGGCAAGAATGCTCGCTTTAGAGATTGATTCACACAAAGATGACAGATGATTCTGAATTTGATGAACCTGAAAAGAAAGCATTTAACATCAATATCTGAGCAGAAGATTCTTGAAATTGTACATTAAAAATTCCATGGGGTGGGGTACCTGCGGAGCACGAGGGGTGGGGAGGGAGAGAGAAGAAATTATGGGTTTCGATGGAGATGCTGAATTGTGGAAAGAAATAGTTTTCGGGTTTTGATTGGTGGAGAACTTGGAACACAAACAGATACTGAGAATCGCCATTGACAAACAGTGACTCCTGCTATTTTGGATAGGGTAATCCGTATCAAATATTTTGTAATGATCTAAAGTGTTGGTTTCATTTACCCCCATGAAGTTTCTGGAAATTTCAAACACACCCCCTACGATTCTTCAAACATTGTATGGCTCGCTCAGAACTTGAATACTTGTTGACAACTTCAAAAGTTGACAACAACAAATTTGCCCTCGTTTGGCATTTGGTTATGTTCATAAACAGTCAAATCATTTGTATTCTACATAATTTGTGAAATTTACAAGTATCATCCATTTATTTATCATTTATTTTTATCTATTTGTAATTTAAATCGATTATAAATAACTCCTAAATATGCTTCTAGTTTATAATGTTATGAAAAAAATTGATCTTAAGGTCACGGATGGTTACTATTTGTTTTTTGGAAAGGATGCTATGATTAAGAACTAGACAAAAGTTATGTTCGAAAAAGTAATCTCTCAAATGGAATGATATAGCACGAATAACTATAATTTAATAAATATAACGATAATGCTGAAAGAGATTTTATTTTGAAGGAAACATCACGAATAACGTAAAAAAACCTCGTCCTTATTCTCTCCATCTTGTTTATACATTTATTTGCCTATTTTATCTAATTTTAATTGCTTAAGTATTATTGAGTGTGTGAATTCATGTTGTTCGATCGGTGTCGATATCATTTTATTGTAATATTAGATTTTAAGAAATTTATAATTACGTGGTATAGAGACGTCCAAAGTAGGGATGAAATGTGTGTCGAATGGGATTTTTTTTATAAGAGTATTCACTTCTTTCTAATTTGTCAACTTTCATAGTTCCTTTTAGTTTTTAGTATTTACATATTTAGGCCATATTTGAAAACCTTTTTTTGGGGATAATAGATTTTATAATAGTAATTTTTTAAAAAATGTGTGGCTAAAAAGTAAAAAATAATTTTGAATTTACGTGCAAAATTATTTTATTAGGAGAATGTATAATTGAAAATAAATTTAAAAAATACATATAATTTTTTCTTTTATAATGGGTAATGGGACTAAAACAAGAGCTTATTCTCTTTCCATAGTTCATATTTACTTTTGGGACAATTTATGAGGACCTCCCCTATGTTTGTTATAATTTTAATGACACCGTATTCCTTTTAAAAAATTACAAATTCAAAAATCATACAAACCTCATTTGTTACAAGTTTTGAATAGAGTATCTCTCTCCTAAAGTTCAGTTTCAGAAACACTCCCTTATTTTAAAAAATTACACAAACCTCCCTCCTTCCAAGTTTTGAACAATGTACATCCTCGAGTTTTATGGCAATTTTATTTTCAAAAAATAACAAAAATCTTTCTCGTTTCAAGTTTTGAATAACGATACCTTCATTTATCAATTTTCTTTCGCACATTAGCATAAATATAAGTAATTCTTAAAACACTCTTACGAAAAACACAATAAATTATTATTTAGACTATCGTTTTTTCACAAATATATAACATATATCCTGATTTGAAATACTCAAAGTACATTTACATATAACAAAGTGATGAGCATGGTCAAAATATTATCCTAATAAAAACTTGTAATAGACATTTTATTTTGGCTATAATCCAATTAGTATGTACAAATATAACAAAACACTTAAAAAAAATAAGGCATTCGTAGTGTTCATTATTTTAAACTCCAATTAATCGATCATCCAAAAAAAAAATTTATTTTATTGTCAACTCTCCGTTAAAGCAAAAAAAAAATAAAAAAAAAATTGAAAGAAACTAGTTATAAATTTACAAATCTATAAATATTTGAAAAATGTAATCATGCTATTTTTTGCCTTCAGAGAAGAAAGCATCTCTCTCACTTGTAGGGGTGGGCAAAACCCGACTGAACCTGCTCAAACCAAACCAATCTGACTGAGTTGGGTCCCTTTTTTGTTGTTTTTACACGAGTTGGGTGGGTGGCTATGTAGGCGGGTCGGGTCGGGTTATGAGTTAACTCATGAAAGCCGAATAAACCCGTCCAACCCAACTCGCCACTTTTAAAAAAAAAAACACCTAAAAAAGTAAAAGAAACCTAAAAAGTATAAGTAGATAGTGTAACTGTAATTACCTTGATGTATTTTAAAAGAGGAGTTTATTATTCTTCCCACAAGAAATGTAGTATAAGTTTTCCATGTAATGTTAAATGCACTTTTTTTTGTAGGCTTGGCCCATGATGATTGAATAAGATAATAGATAATTTTATTTATTTATTTATTTATTTACTTACTATTTAATCTTATCTATTCGAATTTAGTATAATAGTAAATTGAATGACTTTAATTTTTGTTGACAAGTCGTCCCAAACCGACCAACCCAANGTATAATAGAAAAATGGATAACTTTAATTGTTGTTGACAAATCTTCCCAAACCGACTAACCCAACCCAATCCGACCGATACTTGATTGAGTTGGGTTGGGTTTTAACATTTACACTGGTTGGGTTGAGTTAAATTTTGATCAAACCGATTATGTTGGGTTTGGGTTGCGACAAAAACCGACCCCGCCCAACCCATTCCCACCTCTACTCACATCTATCAAATTTCCGTGTACTTATTTACGATATAATTACAACTAGAATTCCTTCATGTTGTGTTCTCCAATAAATTATTCAAATAAGTTAAATATTGAAGAAATTTAGAAGATTTGAAAGTCTAAACAATAGTTTGTCCATGATGTAATTAGAAGTATCCGTTGACCACAAAAAATGTGCGAACAGATACCAGGCCCATTCGCGTCCTCACAAGCTAATTTCGACATGTGTCGACGGGTTACTGGTCGAACATAATACGAGTTTGAATGTGGGAGAAGCTTTTCGACACGAGACAAATATATTCATGCTCCAATAAATATATGAACAAGGGTGTACGATAATGAACGATCGATAAATAATCAAACTAAAGATTAAGATCACGCCATATACTCTTGAAAGATCATGAAGATAGAGAAATTTAAGCTGTAGATAACCATTCTTCATCCTCCTTTTAATGACACAAAGATGATCTATTTATAGTGTTACATGTATAATAACAACCAGTGGATGAGAGGACACATAGCTCCATCTCCTTAGCCAAAACATCACGTCCTAGGCATTATTTTTAACTCACTAGCATGGGGCACATTAAATGCCCCAAAAAGGAGGTGGCCAACCCATACCTTATACTTACAAGATTGGCCTTTTCACTTTGGCACAATTTCGTCCCAAAGTGGCTGCTGGCAGTTTTTGCTGTGCGAGCCCGCCACTTTAGGATGAAATTTCGACCACTTTTCGATGGATTTAGTAGCGATTTTTGGATGAGTTACGTAGAGGACAGCGAGGGCTTCAAGTTGGTGTGTTGGTCCAATGATTTTGGTGGATGGAAAGTAGTGGAATTTCGTCCAAAAGTGGGCCTTTCACAGCACAAAACTGCCGACTGTGCAAGAGGCCCACTTTGGGACGAAATTCCGGCCACCACCGTCTGAGGTAGAGGCGGTTCTTGGGTGGGTTGCGTGGAAAGAAGTGAGGGCTTCAAGATGGTGTGTTGGTTCTGTGGTTTTGGTAGTCGGAATGTGGTGGAATGGGGCCGAAAAGTGGTAGTCTGGGTTTGGGGTTTGGGAGATTTTAATTTGAATTTTGCACTTGAGGTCCTCCAACTTCTATGTCCACGTGTTTTCGTGCCTTAAGTTTGAATTAAAACATAATAGTACTAAAACTAAGTTTAGTGACCATTTTTGAAATCGCATGAAATTTCAGTAACCATTTATGCAAGTTTTAACTTTTAAACTTTAGTGACCGTTTTGTTATTTTCGCGTAACTTCGGTGATCGTTTTGTGAAATTAACTCATTTTAAATAGTGATATGATGAGAAATATGTAGTTAAAAAGTAAGAAAAAGTTATTGATATGATAGAAAATATTATTTTATTGAAAAATGTGTGTCAAACAGAAGCTTATTTTTAACCACACATTTTTCGATAAAATAATATTTTTTATCACATCAATAACTTTTTTTTTCAACCACACATTATCTATCAATTTATTCCAAAATACATTCTTTCAAAATAATATGGATCAAACACACATCCAGATTTGTGTATTTTGGAAATGCTATTCATCCCCATTGGGGATACATCCTCAATCTATGTGGATATAAATGATTGGTTAAATGATATGTGAAATTAAATGACTTATTTAATTTCACCTATCATTTAATACCACATAAACGTCACATATACTGAGGATGTATCCTCAGTGGGGATGAATGACATTTCTCAAACTTTAGAAGGGAGATGCATTATAGAATTTAATAATTTTTGAAAAGAGAGAAAGTGCCATTGAAATTGTCCAAACCTTGGGGAGGTGTAATTTGCTCTTATTTTTCACTATTTTGCTGCACAATTACCTGCTAGATATGAGTCCATGGTCAAACAGCATAACCAAAATATTGGTCTAGTAAAAAACCGGTTACCAGAAACTGCAAAACCAGACATATTATTCTTTGTTTTTCAACTACTCCTGATGAATAATAGCTACAGATAAGTACATCCACGGCCAAATCACCAGCTATATTACTCGGATAAAGATAGAGAGATAAAACTACATATAGATAGAGAGAAAAAAAAAGGGTGGGGGAAGCTGAAGAATCAGAACAAAGGACCTGACCCAAACCCTAGCCCGTACCGGCTGAACCTGTGAAGGTACTTTTTCCCTCTCTTCAAATCTTTCTGCAGAAAAAACTGAAATAGATGTTTGATGTGAATTCTAAACTGTATACCTGGTATCTGCAAGTTCAACTGTTAACCGTAGAATTTAATCGGCAGTATATAACATTTAGGAAGCAATTTTAAAGTGTTTTCCTCTAGATCTCCGTCTAATTTGCAGTACCGTTAACTGGGCTTCTTCTTCTTCTTCTTCTTCTTCTTCTTCTTCTTCTTTTTTTTGTAAATTATTAAGGTTTTAGTACTTCACGGATCAGGGTTTTCATCACTTCTGAGGATATTGATTAGGGTTTACTGGAAGAGGAAAAACACTGATTACTACTTTGTCTTTTAAGGTAAATAAATATTATGGTTCAAGAGTTATTGTGGTTGATTGTTGAACAGAGAGAGATAAAAACAGTTGAAATTGTTATTTAATTATTTTTTCTTCTTGAAAAGAATTTTTTTTTGAAGAAAAAGGCATGGGGAATAGATGGTTGGCTGGAAATATGTTGATGAACCCAATGTTATCATCATCAGCTCCATTTCTTCACCTTGGAAACACTGCAGAGGATAAAAATGCTGTCTTGAATCTCCTTGGACCGCCCAGAAGAGAGCAAGAATCCATATACACAACCACTACCAATCCATCAAATTGCAATGGGAGCAACGCTATTAATCCAAATCTTAACCAAAATTTTGCAGATGGAGAGAGTCGAGAAAATGACTACGAAGTCGAAGAAGAGAGGCCTCCTGGAGATCCCGAAATTTCAAAGCCGTCTATCTTAGGACGCCGGCCTAGAGGCAGACCACCAGGCTCGAAAAACAAGCCCAAGTCTCCAATTGTAATAGCAAAAGAAAGTCCAAATACTCTACACAGCCATGTGTTGGAAATCAGCAGTGGCAGTGACATTGCACAAAGCATTGCCACTTATGCACAGAGGCGTCACTGTGGTGTTTTGGTTTTGAGTGGCAATGGAGTTGTAACCAATGTGACCTTACGCCAACCAGCGTCTCCGGGTGGAGTGATATCCCTCAATGGAAGATTTGAGATACTATCGTTGTCAGGTGCATTCTTGCCGGCACCATCGCCGTCAGCAGCCACTGGACTTGCCGTGTACTTGGCTGGTAGTCGGGGCCAAGTACTGGGCGGCACCGTGGTGGGTGCATTGGCGGCATCAGGGCCTGTAATGGTGGTTGCTGCGACATTTACCAATGCAAGATATGAAAGGTTACCTGTAGAAGAGGAGCAGGCTAGTGAAGAAATCCAAGTACAGCCCTCATCAAAAATGAGTTCAGGAACTGGCGGTGCTTTTGGGTCCCATTCTCATTGTTTACCGACGGATGGCCCAGAATCGTTTGCAGGTTTATATAACCTGCCCCCGGATTTGCTACCTGCCAATGTTCAAATGCCGCATGATGGCTTTTGGACGGTGCCTCCACCTTCCTATTGAGGCTGGCAGACAGATGGGAAAATGAGACAAATTACTGAACATTGTTGGCATCGAATTACTGAACATTGATGGCATCCATGTTTGGTGGGGGGTATCGAGTATGACTGGACACAATTGCAGAAGAGAAGAACGTCAGATCTTGTTCTTTATAATTATCTATTTTGTCCAGTCATACACTGAAGGATTGCAAGTAACAAGACTTATAGTTGATCCGGAACTCAGGACTGGGATGCAAAATCAAAGGAATATGGTGAAAGGTGTTTAGATCATTGCTAATAGTTAAGGATGGCAAGCTTTAGAAGTAGGGACAAAGTCATCATACTGTATATGGAAGAGGACTGGCTCTTCTTGAACCTATCTTCGTAAGGCATAGGAATCGAGAAGGGCTTTCTTGACGATTTTGTATCCTTGTAAATAACTCCCGGTTTGACCGATCTTCGTGTTTTATGACTTTACAAATAATCCAACAATAAGACAATTGAAATCAGTTCGCAGAACAACGGGAAATCTTTCTCAATTGGTACGTAATTCTTTGATTTTACCTTCCTTTAGAATTATGAACTTCGCATATTTTATGAGGTTTGGGAAACAAGCTGGATGATTCAGATTTAATGCTGATTCATCAGTATCTTCTGGGAATTCATTGTTTGAACTGAAAATTGGTTGAAAAGTTAATAATTTAGGGCATGTTTGGTGGTGGGATTGGATTTTATTATAAACAGATCTTTTCACATGCGTTTCTTCTTTGATCTTGTCCATTGATGTGATTTTTTTTATTGATTTTGTCCAAACATGCCATTAGTCTCTGATTTCAGTGGCATGCCTCCTCAGCATTGTAATCCTTTGAAGATTCCCGAGTTTAGTGGCCTTCTTGCAACTTGGTTTTATTTGAAAATTTTCATGTGATTTACTATGGAAGCTTTGCTTTAAGACCTGGGCTATTCCTCCCAATAATTAAGTAACTTTAGACGACTTAGGTAGTGGTAATACTAGTAGTCACCTGCATATCATATTGGTAGGCCTCTTCCACAAATATTTAGGGGTTGTTTGACAAAACTTTTGGTATAATTTTTTTTAATTTTTTTGCAGCTTTTGATAAAAATTGATGAAATGTGCGGTTGAAAGGATGAAAAAAAGTTACAAGTTCCATGTAATGTATGGTTAAAAATGAATTTTGACCAATTAAAACATAGTAATATTGTTCATTCCGTAACATTATTGGTTGTACTTGGAAATCGATAAATATTCTATGTCTTGATTTAATTAGGGGATTTTAACATGAGCTTTGTCGATGATTTTTCTCACATGCTATGTCAGCTTACTTTTTCTTTCAAAATTAGTTGCAATTTTCTTTAATTAAGCTCAAATATAATTGTTGTCGTTCTTGGAAAAATATTAGATCCCATCCACGGAAAGATGGTGAAAAATGTTATTCGCCCTCTGAAGAAAAAGCTTATAATTGATTCTCGAGGAAACTAATGATTTTCGTGCGGAATTTAGACCACATTAATGAACTTAGTTACTTCCCTAATTATGGTTACCTTCACTTTTCAAAATGCACTTTTGCATACAGCAAATGTACAAGAATTTAGAAATTTTTCTTCTTGAACAGTGTTCGATTATGCTCCACTTATCAAATGAGTCAAGTCAAGATGTCATACCACTTGTTCGAGGATTAGGTTTCATCTAGCGATAGCTTAATTTGTACGAGGAAGTCTTGTCTCGATCCCAAGTTGTGGAAATATTTGCGTAAAGATGTTTCTTTTCATACTATAGTAAATAAATGATACGAGAATGGCATCTTATTTCATTTGATAGCTAAAACTCTGATTGTCTATGATATCTTAGACAAATAATAAAGAATTTGGGATCTCACATCTCTATTTGCTTTCGGTCTTTTGTTTCACTTCGTTCATGTCAATGAAATCAAGAAAAATAAGTAGGTTAGTTGCAAAAAAATAAAACTAGAGAAAAAAAGAAATTAGAATTAAAATTAGAATTACTAAAAACTAATTATATAAATTAGTTCTCAAAAACTACACAAAAAACTTGGTTGTTATAATCCCACGAATGTGGGTATCGTGGTCGAGTAATAAAATGTGCTCCCACGAGGATTAAGTATTTAATCTAATTTTCATTTAACATCCACTTTAATCGAATAGTTAGATTAGTTGAGTGGTTCATTTTTCCATTTTAATATCAATTCAAGATTTAGACAATAAATATTCGGATACGAAGATAAATGTTACTAATTCGTTTAACAATCTTTTTCGAGTAGATTTAAAAATATTATGATCTGTGACTTTTTTATATCTTTATGAAAGATGCGAACATGCAAAGATACATTAAATTACAAAAGCATAAAAGTGATCCTGGAAAGTATAACGATATATCTCTATCACATATCGAACATTCCAATGATTGTTACTATGTACCAAAGACACATTCATTATCTTGAATGTCAATAGAAATCGCAAGACAATTTAATTAGTGATCAATTAATTGAAAAGCATTAGGTTCGTAATAATCATTTAAAATCAAACACACGCTTTAATGTAAAAGTCCAAAACTAAATATCAAAACTTCAAAAGTAGGGTTCAACGTTATTGTAGCATCTATACAATTAGCTAAACATCAAATTAATTACAAAAACGCAAAAAATTGATACAATATCACCCGGTATGAAAATTTGAAAGAATATGAAAAACAATCTTGAATCTCTAATGACCTTTGATCAACCTTGTTTCTTCTTCTTGTACAATACAAGTAATTGAAGTATGAATGTGGTATATGTTTTGTAATAAATTTCTATGAAACTTTGAAAGAATATTTGGAATGGATGAAAAACTTCCTCTTTAGCTCTCTCATTTGAAAAAAATTATGAATTTGAAACCCTATAGCGACCTTGGCTTGTATAACCCTCTAATTGTTGGATAGATGTATGTATTAGAGTAAGAATTAGTTCAAAAAATTGTGTCCTAATTGGTAACCAAAAAGAAGTTGAGACAAAAGGAAATAAAATTTTTCTATCAAAAAACGTGTCATACGATTGCATAATCTAAGAACATGCGATTGCACAACCAAGAAGAATTGGATTTTCCAATTAAGGGAAGTTGCCTTCAGTCTGTTTTGGTCCATGTTTTCTCTTGATTGAGCTTGAGTTCTTTATGATTTTCATTTTTAGTCTTTTATCTTTTGTCATGAATTGATCTCAAGATAATGATCATAATTAAATAAACAAGAACACGAAGATTACCCTAAAAAACAAGGGTAATTAGCACATAACGTCCACACATTTCATTGTTATGAAATGACGAATAGACCCATCTCTTTAAATAAAATAAAAAATAAAAAAACTAATTGCAATCACAGTCCTGACTTTTTTTAAAATGCTCAAATAAGTCACAAATAGATTATTAAAGGTAATTAGTACATAATTTCTCAATCTTTCACCGTTATTATGAAAAACGTCCATTCTCTTCTTCTTTTTTTTTGACATTTTCACCATTAATTACACATTTGATTGCGCAAACCACCATTTCTATCTATTTTCATCCAATTTCTCAATAAAAAAATTGTGAAATAAATAATATAGCATCTTGTTTAAATAAAAAGCTAAGAATTAATTATAATCATAGTCTCAAATTTTTCTAAAACGTGCAAACAAGTCCCCAATAAATTGTTAAAAAATTTAATTTCTTCAAAAAGTGCAAACGAGTCCCACATAAATTATTAAAGAAAGCAACCATTGTCTCAATTTTTTTAAAAAGTGCAAACGAGTCTCAATTAAATTTATTTAAAAATTTTAAAAATAAAAAAATTAAAAAGTGCAAACGAGTCCCAAATAAATTATTAAAGAATTAGAAATTAAAAATATATTTTTTATTTAAATAGGGGGAGATATTCATTATTTCACATTTCTTTATTGAAAAATTGGATGAAAATGGATGGAAATAATGGTTTGCACAATCAAATTTGTAATTAAGGGTGAAAATGCTAAAAATGAAAGGTATGGACGTTTTTCGCAATAACGGTGAAAGATAATGACATTATGTACTAACTACCCTTTTAATAATTTATTTGTGACTTATTTGCATTTTTTTTTAAAATTGGGACTGTGATTGCAATTAATTTTTTATTTTTCCTTTTGTTTTATTTAAAGAGTGGTATTTTTGTCATTTCATAATTTTTAATTGAAAAAATATGTGAAAATGAACTTTTGCTCAATGAAAGGTGGAAATAAGGGTAAAAATGGCAAAAAAAGAAAAAGAAAAAAAGATATGGACGTTTCCCACAATAACAATGAAAGATATGAACGTTATGTGCTAATTACCTTAAAAAACTGACATGGGAAAAAACTATAGGCAAAGCATGAGAATTTCACTATAATCAATAGTAATTGTGTTTGTAACAAGATCTCAAAACTCTCAAGTTTTTAGATCTAAAGCTCTTATGATGTTGTATGAATGTTATAATCTCAATACAAGTGTACATGCAGCACAATCCAACTTCAATACCCACTAAAATTTGGGTCAAACTACAACAAATATCTATCTTGAACCAAATTTCAGTACAAAGAATTTCAAAACACATATCCAAAATAAACACCACTCCTCCTCTTCCAAATAAGTATCAATGGGCTAAATCAATGACAAAGACCAATTAAATTTAAGCAATGCTCAAACTTAACAATAAGAAGTGGTTTTATCAATATATCATCAAGATTATCCTTGATATCAATTTTGTTCACTACAATGTCACCACAAGTAATCACTTCACACACAAAATGATACCTCACATTAATGTAAATGATAATATACAACAAGCATTTTCTTTGCACATTTGATCGCTATAATAAGGTGATCATATTGAAATTATTGATTAAATTTATTAATAGATTGACAAAAAGTTATCTTTAAGGATCAAATTGAAATTTTGGTACAACTTTAGTGACCATATGTGGAATGAACTCTTTATTTGTCCAATGAAGGCCCTGTTTG